TTCTCCCTTGTAGATAGATAGATAGATCAATAGATAGATAGATATTACATATATGATGCAGGCATTAATAGAGTGGGTTAAAAAATAATATTTGTGTGTGTGTGTGTGTGTGTGTGTGTGTGTGTGTGTGTGTGTGTGTCTGTGTGTGTGTGTGTAGCAGTAGAACTTTTTCTGGATCCCTAGAGGAAGTACCCAGGGTTACCTTTTTCACCCTTGAGTTTATTTACTCTCCTCAACCTCAACTCCTCACTAGTCACTCTTTTCAAAATAACTTGTACCTTTTCAAAAAAGACCAGACTTTATTTCACTCAATCACCACCTAGTTATTTAGCACCTACCATTTGCCAAGGCTCTTCGCTGCTACACCACGCAGTATATCACAAGGATCTCAACCTCGTTTTTAGCTATTTTCAAACTATTATTAGAATTTCCCAGTTTCAAGACTTCCCTTTTGGAAGGGTGATTTTCCTCATTTCTAGCGGTGTTGAAGATCGAGCTAGATGGTCAACTGGAAGTGATAAAGTGGAAAGAGTTTGTGGTTCACATAGGTGGCTGGACCTGATAAACTTGTATGCATACAAATGTTTACATCTATATACAAGGGGGACCCCCCCCAAACCGTAATTTATTTATAAAAAATTTGTGTATTTCTTCTTGCATGTTTAAACTTCAGTCACCTTCAAAGTGTTTTCCATTTAATGCAATACCCCTATCAGGATGATTTCCACTGCTCAAAACAGTTTTTGAACTCGTCCATTTTGATGACTTTTAGTGCTTCTTATTTCACTTCTTTCACATCAGCAAAACATTTCCCTTGGAGGACTTTTTTTCATCCGGGGAAACCAAAAATGTCACTCAGGGAGAGATCAGGTGCATAGCGAGAGTGGCACACAAGGATCATGCCATTTGTGATCCAAAGCTGCTGAACACTCAGTGTGGTGTGGTCAGGTGCACTCATAAATCTCCCATCATGAAATGGGCAAACACATTTAAAGAACCATCAAAAAAAAATTCACTGAAGCTGAACACAGCTTCTCACAACGCTTGCTGACACACTGATGCTGATTGGTTCCTACAAAACTTAGCTAGTGGGGGAAGCCTATACTACAAGGGCCCTGCCCTCCAAAAATAATTTTCGACTTTTGGAGGTTTCCCTAGTATGTTTGTATACACACACACACACACACACACACACACACACTCTCTCTCACACATGCACAGATACACACATAAATATATATACTATCTATCACTTGTGTTTGTGCTTGTTAGTGACTAAAATATATAGAAAATGCCATTTGGAGACATCTTGAATAAGCATTTATAGAATGGAAATGCCATAATGCCATCAAAACTTTTTCTTCTGCTTATCCAAGCATTATCAGTTGATTTATTTAATAAAACTGAGGGCAAAGAAAGACTGGAAATGCATCTTCCAGTAGAAGGCCCTCATGCTGCGACTATTGAAGTGATAAGTAATTTGCTTTTAATGCTAGCACATACCACTTAGCACCATATTTACCTAAAGGATGAAAATTACTCATTTTTTATCTAGTTGCTTAACTGACACAATCTAATCTATCTATTGTCACTGAATTTAATACAAGGAATATTTAATAGACCTCACTTTTAAATTTATAGCAAGCATTTAAATGTTTAATTCCTTCTTATTTATATTTTTATTTCTTAATAGAATTGAATTCCAAATGGATAATTTATTTACACAATAAAAGCACAGTAAGTACCAGCAAAAATGATCTAGTAAAAGAATTTTTTTATTTACAGTTATCAGTTATAATTATATTTTATACTGTGCATTATCTCTGTAGGAGAAGAAATTGTCAATGTGAATGACACAAGTCAATAAGTAGCTAACCATAACATTAGAGATGAAGTAATCAATGCAATCACTGGCAATATATGTATATGTTTATAGATATTGTTTTGCTAATAGATTCTCAAAAAATAAGTATCAGCATTATAAATTAATCCCCAATAGTCTGAAAAAGATCGATGACTGAATTCACAGATATATAGTCCCCAGAAACTTGTCTTTAATTTCAAATAACACTTTTCACTGCATATAAATATATGCATTCTCCTTAGGGAACATTACATTGGTGACTTTCACATTAGAACTCAGTTTTACAGAGCATCTATTTACAAAGACTACACTCATCTGTCTTTATGCATGAAACTATTGTCTGAAGTACATAAAAGGGCCACAGAAAGTGAAAAAACTTGACACTAAGAATAAAAAAGCTGCTTTTTCCTCTGTTTTTAAGAACCCAAGCATGCATTGCATTCAAAACAGTCAAAATTAAACAGGTTCTTTCAATGCCAATAGAAACGTAGTGTTTACTTCAGGTGTAGACAGTACCAAACTATTATTTCAGCAATGAACTGAGTTATAGCACTGAGCCCTGAACATCAGAAAGATTCATTTTAAAGAGAAAAGAGAACTCATAAAACATGTTAGTAAGTGTCTACCCACCAAACACCAGTGTGTGTGTGTGTGTGTGTGTGTGTGTGTGTGTGTGTGTGTGTATACACACACATATATAATGCTGTAAAAGGTTTGGACAAACTCAAATGTTGAATCTGTTTTTAAATACTCAATGTTCTGTAAGAGACTTTTAATGATAATACAAATATAAAACAACAGCAAAAACCAATCTGCAGACTTCTATTTTAAAGTACTGAATAACACATGCTTTGAAATAATGTTGGAGAAGATGCCTTAAATAGGAAATACACTGTAGCCATGGGCATTCTTCAGGAGCAGAAAATATTGCTTTTCTTAATTATTCTCCTCCCTCCACTGGGGCCACCAATTTTCTAAAGGAAACACAAAAAAGGAAAAGTATCAATCGACTGATGGCTGATTTCTATATTGCTCATTCAATTCACTTTTGTTTATCACATGAAATATAAATTTAAGTGAAGTTTGACACAGCTTATTCTTTCATCCAGCAAAATGTACTGAGCACTTACTAATTCAATACAGTATTAGGAACTGGGGAGATAACAGTAAATAAAGCAGACAACAATCTCGGCCCTCATAGAGTTTTACTTTTAGTGAGGTAAGTATAAATAGAAACTGCAGACCTACAAAATTGGCAGATATTTGCATTCATTAAGTTAAGCAAATGGCAGCTCAGTGAAAAATTACCGTAACACTTTAAAAAATAAATTTGATTTATCGACTTGACCTAATTGTCTAATGAAATACAGCTTAAAATGCAGAGATCTACTTTAATGTATACCTTTATTCCTTCTCAGAATATTTTATGCTGATACAGATCTATCGTATAATTTGTTTTAATTTACCTAGTTCCACTTTTGCTTGGTTGGTCTGACCTTCCTTATATTATAAAAAAGAGCACAATAAAGACCTAGCCCTAATCCCACGCCTATGTCTTCTTCATACCATCTTTCCAACAGCACATATTTATTGAGCTTCTACATACACCCAAGCACTATTCTGCATTTTGTGAATAGAAAGATACAGTTTAATACTTTTCTGTTAACAAGTAACTCATTCTCTAATGAGGAAGCCAAAATACATAATTAGCACAAAGCCGTTAAGTGAAAGTGCAGGTAAGTATTTGGTGATCAGAGCTGTAATTATGCTTGCCGGAACGGAGGAAGAGAAGGAAATCAGTGACAGTGACATTTAAGCATTTGACGGAAGATTCCAGTTGCCTGAAGTGAGCAGTTGCAATAACCTAAACTATTAAAGCGTGTTTAGAATGTTTATTAGTTTCTGTAAAATTTAGATCTGTTGACAGAGATTTTAATGCATGACGATTGGACTTCAATAATAGCAGTAGAGGATTAAAAAAATTGACAGTATATATACATATGCTAATTTCTGCCAACAGAGGGAACAAATACCTTATGTAATCCTTAATGTAAATGTCTCATGTTAGACTGACAATATCATAATAGTTAGACAGTGATTAAAGTTGATAATTTAAAAATCACCAGGATTGAATGTTTTCTAATTATAGGTATGAATTTTGACCCTTCAAATAATCACTGCTTTCCGTTTGAGAAATGTAACTAAAAAAAATCAAACCAAAACAAAATCCAAACAAATTGCCTTCCTTTCTCAAAGGTGCAGAAGAAGTTCTGAGAGCGTAGATACCCACTGTATTTATTGCTTTTTAAATAAGGACAGAGTATTATTAGTGATACAGGATTTTTTATGACCCATCAACCCTCTGATGGCTTATTATCTGTTTGTACATGCCTGCAATTCCAAATCTTTAGATGAGAAGAGAGGAAAGCAAGGGAGTAAAGAGAAAGGAGGATTATATAAGAACTAAAAATAAGAGCTGTGCTGCTTCAAACCCTTTGGAAAGAGTCGAGGTGAGTGCAAACAGCCCAAAGCTGAGCCAGGCAGTTTAGACTTGATGGTTGTTATCTCAGAATACAAAATATAAACTCTGCAAACTAACTCATTTAAGTGACTTGATTTTTTTGCTATTTCCATTTTTTCTTGAAGTTCCTTCTAGAAAAATAAAAATGTGACATTTTTTAGCCGAATGAAGAGAAGAGGAAACGTACTCAGACTCGGTCTTACCATCTTCTAGGCATCCCTTTACTCCCTCTAATGAAAGAATATTATTGTCAAAGAATGTTAAAAATGGCATCCTGTCCCTCTTCAGCTTCCAGAGCAGTCAAGAAGCTCTTTCTAAGTTAGTGAAGATAAAGGTGACTCGTATTCTGTGAAAACGTATTTGCAATTGATGATAATTTACAGCTGTTTTTTCTAATACCCGTTATCAACTTTTGGTCCACTACATATTATACTGTAGTAGAGTTGAAAATGAAGTTGAACTTAGTCTTTTCACCGTGACTTGTGCATGATGATGAAGCTTTAAGGAAACACGAAGAAGGAAGTAGCATTTAGTGACTCCTTCTTAATTGGTGTACTCATTTGTAGCAATGAGTTGAATATTTAATAAGAGCAAAAAAAAAACTACCTTTTTATTTTAATGGGTTCTTTTCATGTCTCTTGATTTAATATCAAAGGAATCTCCCAGTACAGTGTCCATTTCATTTATGTGCTCCTGAATAGCTGTGATCACTTCACGGTGGACAAACTTTAGGTGATTGATATTGCCAAACACCTGCAAAACAGTGATAAAATGGGCAAGTTATTAACTTATCATGTTTCAAGGAAATATTTAGGTGAAATAAAAAAACAACCATTATTTATTTTTCCTATTTTTTCTTCTAGAATTATAGTTTGGAAGTTCCCTGAAATGCCTTATTATTATCACAATTCCACAGTTTAACAGAAACTTATATTTTAGATTTTATGGTTCAGTTTGATTTCTGACCTTTACAATAATTTAGTAACAACTCTACCTAAAATATAAAGTAATATTTATATAAACATATTCAGTGATATAGAACACAGGGTTATAATTAGCAATTAAAATATATTTAAACAGTTAAGTTTTCTAATCCTACTGAAACCCAAAATGCCAAAATTCAAAACAAGACTGGAATTTTCTTTTTTGCCTTTAATAATTTTTGTTTAATGAAATGCATAGAAAACAAAACTGTTGGGAGAAAACACAGGACAACATTCCTTTTAGTAGGAACTCATTGTCCCTAGAGGAGCTCTCCGTATATACAAGACTAATTATCTTTGAGCACAACTAACAACCATGCCAACATCCTGTTTCATTTGTCACACACAGTTTGGGTTTATTCCTGGACTGTTTATAATAATCATCAATTTCACTGATTTCATGTGTCTCCCCTACATCTTGAAGGTATCTAACATTTCCAAGCATTCTGCTGAAGTATTGTTTACCCCTAGAACTTATGACCTCTTATACTGAAGGCCATTCAGATGAGAAAGGCCACAGCTACAAACTGGCAAATCAAATGTATTGCTCTGGCTAGCAAAGAGGACATCTGCTTATGTGACAAGCTCTTCTTTGGTTACAGCAGCCATTTTCTCTTTCTAGAGCTACTCTTTCATCTCCTGGTGAGGTTGTAAATCATAAAGTTAGCCAATCATAAGGTCTCTTTCTGGGGTGACCAGATGGAGGAAAGGGTACTGGTTGAAATACTGGGAAAAGAAAATCTTCCAAAATAATGAATGGGAGAAAAATGACACAAGCCTGGAGCAATGCTGTTGAATGAAGAAAACATTCCCAAGAATGAAGCCAACGTAAGATGAGAAAGACAAGGAGGGAAGAGATTTGATAACATTCTCTGAACTCCTGAATTCAACCATCCCATCAGTATGTCCATGGCACTTCCCATTCATATGAGTTAATGTATCCTTTGCGACTAAGCAGAAGTGGATTAGGTGTTTGATACATACAACCAAACAATATTGATTCAAATGAATCTCTCTTGCCAGGCTTTTTTTGGAATCCCCTTCTCTGACGGGTACCAGAAATTGTGGAGTCCTTTCCCATTATTGCTTTTGTCCTTGTCATTTTTCCTAACCATCTCTTGTGTATCTTTACTATATAGCTTTCTTTTCACTTTGTATATGATCTTTTAAAATCTAAGTTTTAGCCAGGCTCTGTGGCTCAGCCTGTAATCCCACGCCTTGGGAGCCTGAGGTGAGTGGATTGCCTGAGCCCGCGAATTCGAGTCCCACCTGGGCAATTTGGTGAGACCTCATCTCTACAATAAAAATCAAAAAATTAGCCGGGCATGGTAGCGTGTGCCTGTAATTCCAGCTACTTGGAAAGCTGAGGTGGAAGGATTGCCGGAGCCCAGCAGGT